GGCTCGGGCTTCCTCCGGTGACGCTCTGGCGGCTCCTCCGGCGGCTCCAGCGGCTGTTCGGCTCGGCTCACCTGTTTTCAGCCCGGTTTCCACTGTTTCGACCCTCCCGGATCTGTTTTCGGCCCCGATTAAGGTATCCGGGGCCGTTTTAGAGCCGTATTTCACATTTATTAAATTAGGTAAATTAATTGTGAAATACTAACGGAAAGTGGTGAACGGTGTGTAGGAAACAAACCCCAGCGAAGTAGGAAGCCGCTCTCACGGAACGGGAGCTTACGTTTAGCTATTTAGGGAGTACTTCGGCCGAGGCCAACCAAGTAAGTGGCCTTACTATAGGATAGGCTAAAAATTGTATGAGTTACGATGTTGTATGAACTATGTCGTATGATGCGGTATATGAGTTATGATGATGTATGACTTATGATGATGTGTGTGGGTTATGATACCTGATGATGTGTTCAGTATTTATATATTTTGATGAATGTCGTACTTGATATATTTGATGCACTTTGTGGCAATATGATGAGTATGATGATTGCGTGACGTTTACCTTAATATGATGATGTTTTCCATATTGAGCATGCTATATGATGATGAGTGCCATATTGCATCATGTCGTTAGATCGACATAGGACACAACCCTAAGACGTGAAAATGATATTAATATAAATATCCACGAGTATGTGTTACCTAGAGTAACAAAGAGATGAGACTAGAGGGTTGTGTCAGAAGAGACATTATGATGGATTTAGAGGGACCTCATGCATATTGTATGTTCATAAGCATAGGGCTACTTCCCCTAGAGATGATGAGTGCGGACGCGCACCGTATGATGAGCGCGTATGCGCACAGGTGCGAAAGCACACAGATGAGGGTGTTCATGAGGTGCATGACACTATGGGGTTCCGCTGACCTCCGGACGTCGCTACAGATTAGCTTGACCAGAGGGTCCAGGGGGTGTGCGAGCGCCCTGGGGATTCACACTCGCACGTGTGAGTCGTGTGTAGGGAAGTACTACACATCCAATTTGTCCGAGACTGGAGGCCACCCCTAAGATGATTAGAGATAGGTCCCTATTCATGATTGCATGTGTTTGCATTTGCATGGCCCCCATAGTGGGGTCACTTACTGAGTATTCTTTGAAATACTCAGGCCGTGTGCCACATCATTTTTCAGGTAAAGGCAAGGCGCATTTGTACGGAGGACGGCGGCATCGCGAGCAGAGACTGTGGCACGTGCATAGGGTAGACTCATATTTAAATTTCTAGTCTTAAGTTAGAATAGGTTGTTTTGCATTTCGTTGTTTTAAATTATTTTGTATTTGTTTTTGTTTCTCTAAATTTCAGTATTTCATATTTAAACACGTAAGACCATGGCAGTGTTTTTCAGAGGAGAAGTTGTTTTAAACGTTTTCTTGAAAATTTTCACTATCAATTATGTTCATGTAAGAGTTATATTTCCGCATTATAGATGAGCATGAGATGTTAGTAGCGACTCTGAGTATGTGGAAATTTAGGGTCGTTACAGGAGTGATAACCTCCGCCTATTTTTTAGAAAGCTTTGCTTTAGATCTGGTCACCAATGTGAAACCAGCATCCATTGCATAGCTGTCGGATGTCATTGGAGTAGGTGTGCATGAAGAAGCATTGGACTTCTTCCCTTTTTCGATCACTTTCTTTCCCGTCATTGCTGGGAGAAGGAGATTGGTTAGGGAGAATTTTTCTTTGAGAGTAATAACTCTCTTGAGAGGTAATCTGCCAAGGGATTTTCGATCCCTTTTATAGGCAAAATTTGGAACTCGAAGCAAGATAAAATGGCTTGCCATCTAGCAAAAATTTGTTTAGATACAAGATTCTTGACATCTTTTTCTAAAAACAAATTTAGATGCCCTTGAATCTTTTTTTGATAACAAAGCTTTTGTTAATTAAATCACTTTGAAATTTTTGTACACAAAGTACTATGGAAAGTATTTCTTTCTTTACTGTTGAATAATTTTTTTTGAGTAGAATTCCATATTCTCGAATGGAAACGGACAATGGATTCTTTCTTGTCAAGGGACTGTTTTAAGATTCCTCCATATCCAATATCAGATGCGTCGGTCTCCACTATTAAACTAGCCCTTGGGTTTATCAGCGATAAACACGGAATTGACTTGACAAGGGATTTGATTTTTTGGACTGTTTTGGTATGTTCTTCAGTCCAGGGCTTTGGATTCTTTTTGAGCCTTTCAAAAAGTGGCTTACAGATAGGTCTGATATTTTGAAGGAAATCAGACACATAATTGAGACATCCCAAAAACCTTTCTAGTTGGGTTTTATCTGTAATTTGGTCTGGAAAGTTTGAGGCAAACTCAATGGACCTTTGAATGGATTTAATTAGACCCAAATGAATTTCAAATCCAAGAAAACGGATTTTTGTTTGAAAAAGTTTAATTTTAGGTTTAGACACCACTAAACCGTTTCTTTTGACTTTCGTCAAAAATGTTTGGAGATGCTTAAAGTGTTGATCGACGTTTTGAGAAAAAATCAGAATATCGTCAATATAAACAATTGAAAAGTCTTGAAAAGGATTGTAAATATCATTCATAATCTTTTGAAATTCGGATGGAGTGTTTTTTAGCCCAAATGGCATAACGTTCCATTCGTATTGTCCGAAAGGGACATTGAAAACCGTTTTGTACTTGTCTTTTTCTGAAATCTGGATTTGCTAAAATCTTGATTTCATATCAAATTTTGAAAATATTTTTGCATTTGAAATTCTTTGCATTAAATCTGATTTATTTGGAATTGGATATCTAATCCATTCCAAAACCTTATTTAAGGGTTTGTAGTTAATTACCAGTCGCGGGACTCCACGTTCCTTTTCTGCCTGGTTGTTGACCTAAAAAGCCGCACATGACCAGGGGCTCTTTGATGGTTTAATAAGACCTTTCTGCAAAAGATCATTAATTTCTGCTTTGCAGAATGTTAGTAATTCTTTATTCATTTGAATAGGCCGGGCCTTCGTAGGAATATTTTTCTCCTCGAAAGCTTTGATATAAGGAAGATCAACTATGTGTTGTTTTCTATTCCAAAAGGCATTTGGTATATTTGAACAAACTTCTCTTTCTAATTGAGTTTGTAAAGTTTTGATTTTAAACTGGACAGTCTTATTTTGAATCTGTTCTTCTATTCTTTCGAATGAAATTTCTTCTTTCAAAAAAGAAATTTGTTTTTCTTTATAATTTAATACATTTATTGATTGAATAATTGTATTCTTTTGAAGGTTATTTATTTCGCGAATCTTTATGGGTGAAAGAAAGTTAAATTTTATCCTCTTTCCTAAGGCTTTTGATTCTAACCCTTTTTCAGTTATTCTAGAAGGATATAATTGAGTAATGAAAGAAGTACCTAGGATTAATTCTTGTCCTAAGTCTTTTACTAAAAGGAAGGAATTTACGAAGCAAATTCCATCATTGCAAACATGAACTTTTGATAGTTTGTAATTAATTTTGAGTTTGTTGTTGTTAGCACCTCTAAGACCCTCAATAGTTTTTTCAAAATACTTTGTAGGTATTAGGCCTTCTTGAATGCAATTTTGATCGGGTCCAGTATCTATGAGAGCCTTTAGTATGATTTTGAAATCATAAATGTTTAAGGTAACGAGAGCGTACCATTTTTGATATTGAGAAGTGGTGATGGCTCCAACGAAGAAACTTTGAAAATCTTCTTCATTCAGGTTCGGTTGCGCCGTTTCCTTTTGTGTGAGCAGCCTTTCCTGAAGATTGAGAATTTCTTGACGAAGCATATAAGATTCTGACCTGGGTTCAGATCTTAACGCCTGTACCTCTTGTTTGAGATTATTAATTTCTCTTTGTAAATCTTGAGTAGTGAGTTCCCTCGGTTTTTCAAATCTTTGGAGAACAGATTGAAGTCTGTAGGGATTTCTTTCTTCCCTTTCAGGTGGCTTAGAGATTGTCATGGCATCTCTAAGTCGTTGAACAATTTTCTGTTGAATTTCTGGATCTTGAACTTTTTCTACTACTTCGAGTAGAATTTCTTGATCCTTTGTGAGGACATTTATGCATCCTTCGCATGTCCTTTTTCCCTCCTATTCTGATTCGTATTCTGTGCTTGAATATGAATCGGATTCTTTTTGGAGTTCGAGGATTTCTCCCTCGCTTGATTGCTCTGAGTCAGTTAGGGTCAGTCGTAATAGCTGATTTTTCAGCTCTTGATCTATATCCAACTCATTGATCTTTCCTCTGATTGGACACTTGTTAACATAGTGTCCTTCTTCACGACATTTGAAGGAAGTTTGCTTTTTCTTTCCTCTATGGGTTTTTGTAGGAATATACTTCCTTCTTGAATATCTTGGCTTCTGAGACTGCACGGGTTTATTCAGATATGTTTCTCTAGGCCTGTATGAATGATAAGGTTTTGGATGCGTCTTAACCTTCTTTCGTCTGGAGGTTGAGGGAGCTTCTATTCCCTTGCATCCATATTGATCGCAAAATCTTCCAAGCTCTTTTCTGTTTGATATCGAAGAATTGAGCTTGTTTTGAATCTTTGACTCATTACAAAGTCTGAGTCCTTCTTCTATGATGACGGATGCTATGGATCCGTATGACAAAGTTTGCCATGGAATTGTTCCATTGTACTTTGTCTTAAGACCATCTTTGATCCTCCTTGAGAAGTGTTTTGGTAGTCCATTGACGAAATTCTCTTTCCAGAATTCCAATGAACTATCTGTTCTAATAAGAACTTTGCTGAAGTACATGTCTTTGTACCACTTGAAATCACCTAAGGTAGGGCATTTCAGATTCATGAGTATCTCGGCGGATCTCTCCTAGTATTTCAGAGGGTCGCCGACGAAGAATTCTATGAGGGTATATATGAGGGTGTTGACAACATCCTCTACCCTTTCATGTTGTACTTCGGTCCTAGTTGATGGACCTTCTTCTTTGATGATTTGAGTAGTTGGCCTAATGACATAGTGGTTTAATATCTGTTGGCGGGTTGTTTCATCGAGATATTTGTCCCACCAATCTTTGAGTTGCCCGGTAAATCCGGTTACCAAAACTTGAGCTATCTGATGGTCGAATTTATGGCCTTGTAATTTATACGCGCCTGCGGCCATCATCATCTCATTGACAACATTCATTATATGATAGTCAGACAATCCATCGATATTCCATTCATAGATTGCTAAACCATCGTAATGAGCTTGAGTTTGTAGTGTCTTTTCTTCGAACTGGATATCCAGAAAAGACGGTTGAGGATACCAGTTTTTCTGATTACTGGCATTATTTTGACTTCTTCTAGAGATCCTTTCAATTCGATTGTAGAAAGGTTCTTCTCTCTCATTTGCAATCTCGTCTTCGAATTCTTGGTTTTCGTTGTCATTGTTAACGACATTGACAGATGAATCTTGAGGCGTCATGGCGGGATTTAATATCCTGTCCAACTTTTCCTCTATCTTGGCCATTGCAGCCTCTTCTTTTGAAATTCTTTTTGTAAATATTTTGAGATTTGCCGGTCTGAGTATGGGTATTGACTCATCAACCTTTGGTATAGAGCTACTTGCCTGTTCCTGCTGAGTACCTAATTTCTTTGAGATTTTTCCCTCGATACTTTCAAGTTGAGTAGCGATCGTGGATAAAATGTTATTTGAGTAATTGTTTTGATGCTGGATATTCTTGATATTCTTTAGGGTCGGATTACCCTTTTCTAGTCGTTCCGGAATATGTTTGAAAGGGCTAGCGTTGACCTTTTCTCCATAGTAGTTGTCGAATTCGACTTCTTCTAACGGAGGATGTTTCGAATATACCTCGCCCCTTTTGGTAGTCTTCGAACTCCTCTGAGTCAATGTAACGCCCCGTTGGGTTTAGTTATATAAATATATATATGTGTGTTAAAATAAAAATAACAAAATAAAGAAAAAGAAAAAAAACTGACCACCTCTTTAATCTCTCCGTCCATCCCCTACAATATCTCCCTCAGTATCAATAACTCAGCAAAAAAACAAAAATAGAAAGAAAATATTTTTCTGGAGGAAACCAGAAGGAAGACAGATAATGGAGAGATGGTAGACAGAGATGTCATTTCAAAAGGTTAGGAGTCAGATTTACCTTTTTTTTTTTTATTTTTCTCTTTCTTTCTGCAAAGGATATTAGCAATTATTTAGATCTGAGTTAGAAATTTAGAAATTATCTGTTGCAATGATCTGAATTAGAAATTATATGTCCTAGCGAGGGTCCATGAAAATTGATAAAAAAAAAGAATAGATAGATAAGGAGGAGAGAAAGATAGGGAAAAGAAAGATCTGGATACATATTCAAAGAAAATAAAATCTAGCAATAGAATTAAAATATGAGACAGAGAGGAAAAGAGAGAAAGATTGGAAGACAGATCAAATAAAAATAAAAAATACCAAATTTGGAAAATATAATCAAAAGAGATTTTCCCAGGAAAGAGAGGAGATTAGATTTGGAAACAGTAAAGTTAAAGAAAGTCTGGTGAGTAGAATTAAACCCAGTGTAATAAACTGCCTAAAATAATGAAACTAATTAAAAGAATTAAATTTAAATGGCTTAAAATAATTAGATATGGAAGTAGAATTGAAAGGCTAAACAGAATTAGAGTAGAGAGAAACAAGAAAAAAAAAACAAAGAGAGAGGATTTTAGGAAAGAAAAGAAAGTTAGAACAGTTTGAAGATGACAAGTACCGTTCATATGGCAATGACAAAATTAAGAGGCTAAACAGAATTAGAGTTAAAAGAAAGAAGAAAAAAAAAACAACAGAGAGAGGATTTTAGGAAAGAAAAGAAAGTTAGAACTGTTTGAAAAAATGGTAAGTACCGTAAATAGAATTAAAATATGACATAGAAGAGAAATAAGTGATAGAAGAAGATATGAGAAATTGTTGTATTTGTATCTATAGGATATAACATTAAATGTTGAATTATCCAAGCCACTTGAAATATTAATAATATTGACATATTATTAATTTAAGTTTTAAGTTTTATTATCCTATATAATTTAGAAACAATGAAAACATGGAATTCGATTTTTATTGAGACCGTTTAGAGCAGTTTTTCACACGGTTAGTTGGATTATTAATTAAAATGTGAAATACTAAAATGTGACGAACGATGCGATAGGAAGCAAACCTTGGCAACATTTGGTGTAGTTCTCGAGAAACGGGAGCTTACGTAAATAAATTAGGGAATTCTTCGGCTAAGTCCAACCAGGTAAGTGGCCTTACTATAGGATAGGCTAAAAATTGTATGAGTTATGATGATGTATGAACTATGTCGTACGATGCGGTATATGACTTATGATGATGTATGATGTATGAGTTATGATGATGTGCGGGTTATGATACCTGATGATGTGCTCAGTATATATATATATTGATGAATGTCGTACTTGATATGTTTGATGCACTTTGTGGCAATATGATGAGTATGATGATTGCGTGACGTTTACCTTAATATGATGATGTTTCCATATTGAGCATGCTATATGATAATGAGTGTCATATTGCATCATGTCGTTAGATCGACATAGGACACAACCCTAAGAGCGTGAAAATGATATTAATATAAATATCCACGAGTATGTGTTACCTAGAGTAACAAAGAGATGAGACTAGAGGGTTGTGTCAGAAGAGACATTATGATGGATTTAGAGGGACCTCATGCATATTGTGTGTTCATAAGCATAGGGCTACTTCCCCTAGAGATGATGAGTGCGGACGCGCACCATATGATGAGCGCGAATGCGCATAGGTGCGAATGCACACAGATGAGGATGTTCATGAGGCGCATGACACTATGGGGTTCCGCTGACCTCCGGACGTCGCTACAGATTAGCTTGACCAGAGGGTCCAGGGGGTGTGCGAGCGCCCTGGGGATTCACACTCGCACGTGTGAGTCGTGTGTAGGGAAGTACTACACATCCAATTTATCCGAGACTGGAGGCCACCCCTAAGATGATTAGAGATAGGTCCCTAAATCATGATTGCATGTGTTTGCATTTGCATGGCCCCCTATAGTGGGGCCACTTACTGAGTATTCTTTGAAATACTCAGGCCGTGTGCCACATCATTTTTCAGGTAAAGGCAAGGCGCACTTGTACGGAGGAGGGCGACATCGCGAGCAGAGACTGTGGCACGTGCATAGGGTAGACTCATATTTAAATTTCTAGTCTTAAGTTAGAATAGGTTGTTTTGCATTTAATTGTTTTAAATTATTTTGTATTTGTTTTTGTTTTCTCTAAATTTCAGTATTTCATATTTAAACACGTAAGACCATGGCTGTGTTTTCAGAGAAGAAGTTGTTTTAAACGTTTTTTTGAAATTTTCGTTATCAATTATGTTCATGTAAGAGTTATATTTTCCGCATTATAGATGAGCATGAGATGTTAGTAGCTACTCTGAGTATGTGGAAATTTAGGGTCGTTACAGTTGGTATCAGAGCTCTAGGTTTTAGATTCTGTAGACTAGCCTACAATGTAGGCTTGGCACGTTCCATGGTCCCAACGTCGATGCCCCGTCACCNTATTGAGACCGTTTAGAGCAGTTTTTCACACGGTTAGTTGGATTATTAATTAAAATGTGAAATACTAAAATGTGACGAACGATGCGATAGGAAGCAAACCTTGGCAACATTTGGTGTAGTTCTCGAGAAACGGGAGCTTACGTAAATAAATTAGGGAATTCTTCGGCTAAGTCCAACCAGGTAAGTGGCCTTACTATAGGATAGGCTAAAAATTGTATGAGTTATGATGATGTATGAACTATGTCGTACGATGCGGTATATGACTTATGATGATGTATGATGTATGAGTTATGATGATGTGTGGGTTA